TTTCTTGCTCTGCCTATGGTCTTGAGTCTTCACTCCCAAAGTCAGTCAGCTGCTCTTGAATAAAAGGAGCCATCTCCCCCTTTCTCCTGCTGGTTCCACCTAATCCAGTGATTCTTTCGAGTGCAGTGGAACATGCTAACCAAGAGCAAAATGCAACCCCAACGCTGCCTGTTACAGCTTCCATCATCAACCTGTGCACTACAGTTTCAGTTTGCAACCTTACCTTCACCAACAAAACTGCAAAACCCTCCGCTGTCTCCTCAGAAAACCATTTAATGTCTGCAGAAATCTCCCAAGAGCTCACAGCTGAAAAACATCAATAATGTTTCTCCTACGCTTTTAGCTTCCTTCTTCTTGCTCTTTCCCCCACATTCTGCTCTCTGCTATGCCCAAATTTTCCTTGCTGCCAGTGTAATCTTCATGCAGGAGAGCAGCAGATTCTGTTTCAAATCTGAATTTACATTACACAAAGAGACCAGAACTTAGCTGTGTCAGACCTTGAACCTGGGATAATCTCAATGTGGGGGAAGCCTATAAATCAGGACCTTTCTTTTTAGAACAGTTGCTCACTACAATTCATTGTCTGAGCAAATAAAGCTTTTACTCCCTCCAAATTCTTTGCTACAGCTACCACAAACTTGTGTTCCTAAAATAGAGTTTCACAGCACAGTCATGGAAGTTTTGGCACCAGCCCAGGCAGAATACAAATTTAAAAAATGAAGACTTGAGTAATAACAATCAATATAAACCCAGAAATAACAACAGCTCTGGTAAACACATCAGAATTATCTCATTGCTTTTTCTTTAAATAAGAAGCATAAGCCAGGACAATGGAGGGAAAAGATGGTAAGTATCAAACCTGACTTTAGAAATTCTTCAAAGAGCATATTCACATCTAGATTCTGCATGACTTAGCTCAGCTTCAGAGCATTTTGTGACTGATTTACTCACATTGACAAACCTTGCCCCTCCATCACATTCCAGCAATCTCACCTGAGCCTTCAAATAATGCCCACTGTAAGTCAGATGGATTTTCTTGTGATTACCATGAACACAGATATGCTACCTGCTAGACATACACACTTCACACCTGTTGTCAAATTACAGTGAAATCTTGCTTTGTTCAATTAAAAAATCCACACCCATTCTTACCAAGTGAATCTCAGTTTATAATTAGTGTTAACCACTCTATGCTCTAATAATTATGATTATCACTTTAATGACAGAGTGATGCTCCCTATACCAAGGTCATTCAGCCACAGGTAAGAGAGTGTGGCATTGTATTATGGTTCAGATGCAGGACCACAAAAAGAGAGAGAATCTGAGAAGGTACAAATGAAAAGAAAAAGAGGTGTGAAAATTATAACTGACAGGCTGACATAAGAAAAGTGGAGTATGGGCAAAAAGCAGGAATAAAGTGTGCAGGAAAAAAATCCCCAAGATATTCTACCTATGCTTAATATTTACTATATGTATCTTAAAACATTAATAAATAACGTGTTTAAAAATTCTGTACCTTGGTGCCCCAAGTAGAAAGCCAGCAAGCCTTTGACAGCTTGGTAGTCCAGTCACTGCACAGGCAAGAATAAGCAGTGTAAGGTTTAGTTGGCTGTGCATGTGACAACATAGACCTGTCATTGTTACTTAAATACATGTTTAACGGCCCTATAGGCATTTAACAGCTACACCACAAACCTTCTGAAAGCACAGATATCTATTTCACCTTCTGTTCAGCTTGTGGAAGACACAGTGAAGGGAAAGTACAGCCAGATTTCTGCAGAAAGGGTCTGTTAAGTCGAAAAGTTTACTTATGTTCTACATACCAGCTGCTTTGGATCATCCAGGGAGACAAAGCTTCCAAAAGAAATTTAATCTTCTATCGTGCAGCATTTTAACCCCAGAGTGGAAACCTAAAGATAGCAGTAGGATAAAACACTTGCCAGAAGAAACTACAAAAGCTTCAGGGTTTCTCTGGCTTATAGAAAGGGAACAGTTTAGGAACACAGTAGGCAAAATAAAAGGTTTTGTACTCCAACTGAGACTATATTTCTTAAACACTCAATAATTTTGCCTTCCTCCTGATTTCAAACACAGACCTTTTGCAGAAAGGATAAAAACTGTAGTGCACCTGTTTCACTTGAGCCCATTAGAGCTTATTAATTTTCCCCAGTGAATGACCTTCCCTACCTCAGCACACAGCTGAACCATAGAAGATGCAGAGGAATAAGATGTTATAAAATGAACTCATTAGGCAAATCAAACAGAACTTTGATTTTACTCTCAGTGATGTCCGAGTTGGGACACATCTAATAGGGAAGTGCAACAAACTGTGGGAAGAAACAGAGTTTGAGTTGTCTGATGGACTAAAAAATAGATACAGCATATTTAAAAGGAATTATGAAATTTCATCTAGAAATGCTGTGTGATTTTACCTAATAATAAAAATCAAATTATTCCACCCCTAGGCTCACCCTTGTCCATTTTGCTGTTATCTAACATGTACCAATAATGCAAATTCCTTATCCCACCTCCACTCTTGCCAGGCCTTCCCACTTACTTTCCTTTCTCCTCAATAAGGATGAACTCTCTCTTAAGCAAACAGAGGCTTCCCAAGATCTTTCTGGCTTTTCTTTAAAGGGCTTCCACAGGAGAAGAATTAGGTACTTTATTTACCTGTTCTCAGTTTGCACATTTCATTACATCTGTCTTTTTCTCTAAAAATGAGAAATTTCACAACAGAAAGAACCTCTAATTTGCAAAAGCCCCTTTGCCAGTAGAGCTGCCAGTTCTTCTAAACAGGGACTCGGGAAAGTGAGGAAGGATATAAAATAAAACTCCCTTTCAAACAGTTTTCTCCTGAAAGCCACTTAAGATATGGATCTAGTCAAAGGCTCTGTCAAGATGGAAGAATAAAACCTCATGTAAGTAAGAGACAGGGACTTCTTGTTTAGATGATATGAAAAAATAAATTCTAGTCATGTCCTGGTAAAGCCATTAACTTCTTTTTTTTTTAATTATTCTTTTGGACAGCCTTTTTTGAAAGAAAAAGGACAAAGAGGAAACCATCTTAAAACCAAACAGTCTTCTACATATGAAGAATCCAGTTAGTTGCCAGACCCATATACCTTTTACCCCTATAAAACAAACATCTAGGATTTTTTCCACTTGCTGACTCCCCTTTCCATATTTGAACAGGTCTTACAGGCTGTCAGGAGCCTTATGATATGCAGTGAATGGATTCAATTGCTTTATCTAATATAAAAGTTTCTTTTTATTTCCATCTCATGAAACACTTGCACAACAGTACAAGCGCCTTCACCAAAACCTTTGTTCCATCCCTTTTAAAAGTCAGTAGGTTATTTTCTTGTAGTGTTACTAAAATGACAGGGAATGAAAGAGACAGGAGACACCTCCAAACATTACCCTAGAAGATATTAAAACAGACACTTGAAATTTTAGCAAGAAAAACAATTCAAGATCAAACTGAAATTACGACACACTCAAAGTGAACTCAGTACTCAGAAAATAATGAACAAGAAAGGAAAATTTTGTCTTCCAGTGCAAGAGACAGCAGAATTACAAGTTTCTTAGCCAACGGTCAGCTCTGACACTAAACTGCTTATGTGAGGGCTTGTGAGTCCCAGGCCTCAAGCAGCCAAAAGCCAGCTGGCTCTGGTCACTAGGTCCTCGAGGAGTCCATGAGGTCACTGACATGTTCTACAAGCACAGAGGATGACAATGAAGCTTTCACTAAGTGTCAGTCAGACAGTAGAACTCTGAGCCTTGAGCTGTGACCATCTGAAGCTAAAGGCTGGCATGGACTCCCTGCCATGTTACTCAGGTTCCAAACCCGTGCCTTCAAACCAGAGCTACAGACAGAGAGACAGACAGACTCGACTGTTGTGTTGCATGCGACACCGTGCTATTAACAGGTGACACTATGTTATTAATAATATTCAAACACAAGTGTCATGCCTGCAATTCTCCCTCATTCTGTAGCAATCTTCAGCAATCAAATCCCTGAGGCTGTCCATGGGGAGCTGGTGCCTGACGTGCCTGCAGACCCTGAGCAGTCAGTGCTGCGCTCACAGCACAGCGGACACGCTCCATTAGCACAGGGAAAAGGAGGCACCCGGAGCCCAGCCCACAGGAAAATGGGGCAGTCACACACAGGGAGGTGATCACTGGGATAAAAGACAAAACAAATGCAAGAATCACAGAATTGTCAAGGTTGGCATGGACATCTGAAGATCATCCCATCCAACCCCTCTGCCAAGGCAGGGTCACCTGGAGCAGGTGACACAGGAACACACCCAGGTGGGTTTGGAATGTCTCCAGAGAGGGAGACTCCATGACCATCCTGGGCTGCCTGTTCCAGTGCTCTGACATCCTCAAAGTAAGGAAGTTCTTCTTTATGTTGAGGTGGAACTTCTTTGCGGTTTAGTTTACAGCCATTTCTCCTTGTCCTGTCGCTGGGCACCACTGAAAAGAGTCTGGCATCTCTTGGCACTTGTGCGTTGAGATCCCCTCTCAGTCTTCTCTTCTCCAGACTGAACAGGCTCAGCTCCCGCAGTCTCAACTCGTAAGGGAGATGCTCCAGACCCCCCATCATCTTGGTGGCCTCTGCTGAACCCTCTCCAGTAGCTCCTTGTCCATCTTGCACTCAGGAGCCCAGACCTGGACACAACACTCGGTTCACCTAAGGAGGGACTGAAAAACTACTTTTCCTAAAAACGTGAACCTGCCCGTGCGAGAAGCCTCTGGATCAGGGGCGAAATCCCCTATTTACATTAAGAATAAGCTCTGTACTGTCGCTTTTATAACACCGTAACACTGCGCTCTGTGAGAGCTCCCGAGCAGGAGCCGCTGCCCCAAGGCACAGGCTGCGCTCGCTGCCCCGGTCCCCTGTCCCCGGTCCCCGGTCGCTCACACCCGCCGGGCTCGGCCCTGCCCGTCCCCTCACGCCCCGCCCGCGTTCGCGTTCCCGGGCGGTGTCCCGGCTCGCTCCCCGCCCGCCGCTTTACGGCAGCGGCCGCGGTGTGTGCGGCTCCGGGCTCGGCCGGGCGGTCGGGGCGGACATGGTGAGTGTGTCCGTGGGCCGCCGGTGTCCGGGCCGGTGGCTCCCGGGCCCTTCCCGGGCCCAGCGGCTCCGCTCGCCCTTGGCCGCGGTGCGAGGGGCCCGGGAGGCCGCCGGCTCCCGCCTCGCCGCGCAGCCGAACCTCGGGGCCCCTCGCCGTGTCCCCGCGGTCACCGGGAGCGCCGCGGCCGTGCCGTGACCGCTGTGCCCCGCGTCGGGCTGATGGCAGTGCGTACGCTAATGTACACGCTCGTCCGAACCGCTCTTCGCGCTGCCGGGTGGCTTTTCTAATTTATCCTTTGGCAAACAACCACCTTCTGTGTTCCCCGTGCAGGCCAGTACGATGGTGGCGGTCGGCCTGGCCATAGCGGCGGCTGGATTCGCAGGTTTGTAGTGATGGGAGGACACCGAACACCCAGTTATAGTTACCTGTGCTTCAGGACTGTTTTTAAGGTAGTTTAATAGCTGATAGAGGACACTCTTTTGGGAGAACCTGTATTAATGGCTGTAATTAAACAAAAGGTCGAAGTTCTTACTCTTTTATGTCCCAAAAAAGTTCATTCCATGTTTTAATCCATGAGTTACCAGTTGCACTGAATTGCTAAATCCTCATGGACCTGTACTTAGTCTCGATCAACACTGATCTCTTCTTTAAGGTCGCTATGCAGTAAAAGCTATGAAGCAAATGGAGCCACAAGTTAAACAAGCACTTCAGAACCTACAAACACCTGTAAGTTTTTGTTTATCAGTACCATCTTTTTATTTAAAAGTTTACTTGGTGAAATAACTACAGACTATTGTCTTTGTAGCACTGCTGTATTTTCCTCTAATGCTAAACGTAATTTTGTCAGTAGTAACAATCTCAGTGATTCTGGTGGTGATTGGCTAATAGTGTGCTCGTTCTGGCAATTTTAAGTACTCAAACAATGATACTCCAAGTAAATTTCTCATTACAAGCACAGAAGCAGCTTTGCTATTTTTACAGACTAAAAATCTCAGCAGCTTCTAAGGCAATAATGAGTTGTTTTAACTTATAAACTTAAAAATTAGTGGTTTTTAAACTAACATGTTTTCTCTTTTAGGCCTTCAGTGGTTATTACAGGGGTGGATTTGAACCCAAAATGACTAAACGAGAAGCAGCTTTAATACTAGGAGTGAGGTAAAGGAAATTTATTAGAAGTGAAAGGTGAAAAGGAGGCAGCAGAGTTTCCTTGCTGCTGCCCTTGTTTGGAAGGGATGTCATCCTCAGTGCTTAAGGCCATCCTATGCCCAGCATCCCCTGGGAATGTCACTGCCAAGTCAGGAAATAGGAAGTGGCCTTTCAGGATTTTCTGTGCTTATTGGGGATTCTTTGCTGCACTTGAGCGTGGTTGAAGGTAATTTCCTCTGGACTTCCAGACATCTGCAGTTCCCTAGCACATGCAAAATACAGCTTCCTTGGGGTCCACTCAGCATGGGGAACATGGTTGTGCTGGTTGCTGTGGTTCCTGTCACTGCTGGGGAATTTCAGATGGATGCAGTGTGTGGGTGCTGCAGACCCACTTCTTGTATCTGTATCACTTCTAAAGCATTACAGATCTGAGTATGGTGGCCAATCCCTGCCAAAACACTTCAGGCCAAATGCACAAATCTTACCAAATAAGAACCATTTCTGTTTGAAGGAAACTTCCAGCTGAGAAGTTTGTTGTTTGGGGTTTTTTTATGTTCTTATTTTTTATAAATCAATAGCAAATTATTTTTTTCCTCCAGCCTCTAGGAAGTTTTCCCAATAAAAACGTTACAGTGTAGTTCTGTCTCTTTTGAACCATGTGGATGACTCCCACCCTGTTAGACTGCTCTAACATGTCTTTTTCAGCATAGTGTGTTGGAAAAACCTTAGAAACCCTCTCCAGGATTTACACACTACACATGAAGAGTAGGGAAAGAAAAACAAAGAAGTTAGCCAAAGAGTTTATGGATAAGACAGAGTACTCACTTGTTCTCAGCTTTTGAAAATCTGGAGGATCTCATGAGCATCTCTTAAGTCAGTTTTTCTCTCTCTTTTAAAGCCCTACAGCCAACAGAAGTAAAATTAGAGAAGCTCATAGACGGATCATGCTTCTGAATCATCCAGATAAAGGTAAGGAAATTAAGTCATGTTGATTAATTAATACATGTTTTTAACACAGATTAATGGAACTGTGTAGGAAGAAGTGACTACCCCAGCTATAAAAAAACCCCACAGAAAACTGAAAACAAATTTTAGGGTGCCTTACCTCATGTGGGTTTGGAGCATATTTTTGTGTGAATGTTTTAAAAGCAAGCAGACAGATTCAGCAGGTTGGTTTGTTACTTGCTCAGCCTCCTGTGAATATAAGATTAGAATAGGATTTGTTAAAATGAGACTTGAAATCGCCTTAATTTTAGGTGAAAGCCCAGAGTATACTTGTGCACTTCATATACCACAAGTATATGAGTTTGAGTTCATGGGAGTGCCTCGGGAGTTCACCATAAATGGCAAGTATTGAGCCTTCTGCAGCTGCTGAAGACATTAAACTATGGAATATTCCTTTTTGTGGTACTCTGAGGGCTCAGAATCGAGTTGTGCTCAGAGTTAGTACCTCAAGGCATCTCTACCTGTTCTAAATTCTGTTCAGTGAGTCAGAGTCATGTGCTGGGGCTCGGCATTCACCTTCTTAATTGTCGCTTAAAAGGTAGAATGGCTTCCTTTAAAGTGACTGTTGAATTCATTACTTTTATACACCAAAATCCAAAATCTCCTTGAGATATGCCTTTCATAGATAATGTTGAGCAGAAGTTAACTTCAAAATTAACTTTGCTGAATATATAGAGAACCTAAAAGTAGCTATCCAGAGACTGCTGAGCATTTCATGTTTTACATTACCTAAACAAACTAAGCTTCAAGTAAATACAGTAATTACAATACAATTAAAGGGTATATATGCGAGAAACACAGTTGTTGCATCTCACAGGCTTTACAGTTTTGGTGCATTTGCACTGTGAATTCTGTTTCAATGTCCCTAAGTCATTTGTTTGCCATGTTTAAAAGCTAAACCAGTCCCTTGGTACAGCAGCAGTTTGTGTAGTGGCCTTGGAGGAGGGGGAGGGATATCTGCAGACGTTAGTTCAACACTTCTGTATTCATCACAGACTGTGCTAAGTCATTTATGACTGATAAAACTGGAAATAAAAACCACTCCAGTAAACTAAAAACCACCTAACAGGAACTGTGTGACGCTGAGCTCCTGCAGTGACTGTGCTTCAGTCAGAACCAGTTTGTTCTTTAACTGCCAGAACTCTCAGACCATCCTCACTTTTTTTTCCTGTGTACTGTGGCATTATTAACAACAGAAAAAAATGTGGGGGTTCTTTCCATCTGATGTGAGGTTCTCTTTTTTCCTAGGTGGCTCTCCATATGTAGCAGCCAAAATCAATGAAGCTAAAGATCTACTGGAAGACCAAGCTAAAAAATGACAAAAATCTATCAGAGGTTTTGTCCCTGCAAATGATTATTTTTGATAAACAGCTTAAGAAAAGTTCTAATGTCAGTCTTTGACTCTGTGTAAATGAAGCTGGGAATACAAATCCAGGGAGCTGCTTCCCTCCCTACTCAGTCACTTTTTTTGGGAAATGTGTGAGGGAGTCAGGCTTAAAAGTTTTTTCATAGCTGTTCTTTATTAAACAGCACAATCTGCCACTCAGAAATTTCTATTTTCAGTGTAGAGAGCAATAACTTGGTGTGAGCAGTGCATGTTACCAGGCAGACTTACATGCTCTTGCCTAATTTCTGTTAAACTAGTTGTGTTTAAAATGCTGCTGCTCTTCCATCTGCCAAAGTTAACACAGTGAACCAGTTTGGGGAGGGGGTGGAAAAAACCAAGAGGATTTTTTGATTGGAATAGCTGGGACAGATGTGTGGTTGTCTCTGACTGAAGAAATAAAGTTCAGGAAACAGTGTACTCCCTTGTCTTTGCCTTGTGAAAAACAAGGTTTGATTCAGTTTCTTAAGTGTTACTGATGAGTCTGGAATGTCTCAGATTTTTTTAGTAACTTTCAGGTTTTGATGGATTTTACAGCATTTAATAAATTCCATATTTTTAGTAGAAGTACTGTAATTTTATACATTATCATATACTACAAAGCTAGAACTCACATCGTAAGGTTTGCATTTATAGGGATTAGGAAACAGGAACTCTTTACATAGACCACTGAGGATACGTGAGCTGGATTTGTGCTGGGTGAGGCCTCACACCCGCCAGCAGTTGTCCTTGTGAGGATCCCAGCTGGGGCCAAGGAGCTCTGTCGTATTCCAAGAATCTTCCCAGTGTTTCTGGAACTACAGAAAAACCGCTGCACAGCACCTGTGAGAGTTAACATCCACCTGTTCATAATCTTGGGAGCTTTCATTTCCCAGAACCTGGACTTGGGAATGCTGCTGGAAGCATCTCACATCCTCTGTGTGAGTGCTGCCTGCTGTGGACTAGTTCTAGGCCATTTAGGAAGGATTACCACAACGGTTAGGAAGAGTTCTGTGCCTTCGGGAGAGAGCATCAAATAGGTAACCTTTAGAACCTACGGAAAGGGGGAATAACTTTTCTTTGCCACAGAATTTAAAGCAGGGTGAGGGACAGCTGGAACAGTGCCATGCAGTCAGTCTGCACATTCCAAGCCATATGCAGAATATTTCTGTACTTAAGTTTTTTCCTGCCAACTACTACTTACTTCTTAAGCATAGCTAGCTCTTTTTTTTTTCCCTTCCATGTTTTTTTAATTTTCTCCAGTTCTGTGCCTGCCTGATCAGCTGAGATACTTAGCACACTTCAGAGTTACAATTTAACTGTGTGTGTTCTCCAGGAGGGAACATTGTGGATGGGTATCCAATACTAAAGTCATATTACAAACTGCACATCTTCTGAACTGACACACACACCCCGGCCTGGTTGGGACAGCTCTGCTGTAGCTCTGTCAGGCAGAGCAGCTGAAGGCACAGGTGGTTCAGAACACTCATCTTTTGTCCCTATTCACTTCTGAAAAAATGAGATAAGACAATTTTTTTCATTTAAGTCAGCACAACTTCAGCATTACCCTGTGCTGTGAGTTCTTGCAACAGCTCCTTCCTACCCAGATGTTTTTCTGTACCTGTTTTGTGTTTCATTGCTCTGGCTCATGTGCCTGAAAAGATGCATGGGTGTGTCATGCTTTAACTTCTCAGTCAAAAACTACATATGCATTAATTCCTATATATGTTAGTCAGGTTAGTGATTCTCCAAGATAAGGAGTTTGGTTTTAGACTTGTTAACTGATGTTTGTCATAGTCACCTTAAAGAAAGGAAGATTAGCACATCAGAAACTCTTTCATAAGAGTTAAAGGTTCAAGCTGCCTCACAAGTAAGTTTCAATTGTTAGTTACAGCTTGAAAACCTTAAAGTCAATAGTAATTTAAATTTCTGATAGAAACAGTCAACAGATGGAAGATCAAAGTTTATTTTCTTTTACTACCAGCATACAAAAAAAACATATTGCACATCAAACAACCAAAACAAAAATAAAAATACTCTACTAAGGACTAACATATGTAGTTTATACAGAATAAACTTTCTGGAAATTGATCTTTTCAGTAGTTCAGGTTATGTCTTAATGGACATGACTAATTCAGCTTAGTGTTAACTAAAGCTATGTTTGATTTTTAAATACTGTACAGTTTAATAAATAAACCAAACAAAGCCTCAATGTAGAACAGTCACTGCCAATGTCACCCAGTATCCCTGCAGATTATGAGAATTTAACAAATGTATTCCAGTGGTCTGCAGATTTTTCCTCTACATACAGCATTTAAAAAACATGTATTAAAACAGACCAGTTTCCAGACTAAACTAATGGAGAAATTACATTTCAGTGCAAAATATTTTAGACTGCATTTCTTTCTAGTATTCCTCAGGTGAAGAAGTGGTTGCATATTATTAAAAATGTAACAAAAGCAGCTAATGCTTTCATAAAGAGTATTATGTTAGGGATCCCCCTCACATCTTTGCCGTATTTTGAAAACAAAATAACATTTCCTATAGCCAGCAATTTTGTTTATTTAAATGTTACATATACTATCTCAAGGCACATCTGATGATATATTTATAACACAGTAGGTGTCAAAGTATGTTTAACATATGATTTCTTCAGGATCCCTCCCCTTTCTGTATTCCAAAATGGAGGAACTGAAAGTGCGGTGTCAAGACTGGCGATCCATATTCTATCTTTGGCAAGCTTATACAAGCACTATTTTAAATGTAATGTAAAAGAACTGTAAACTAGGAACTTCAGTTTATGAAACACCATTCAGGACTGCTTCTTCCTGATTATTTCCATCCTCTTGAACAGTGACTTTCTTTTCATCAGGGCTGTGCTGTAGTTTAGAAGGCTCATCCCCAGAAGTGGTGGCAGGACCATTCACTGCCTTTTCAGAAGGGCTGTTTTCGTCAATCGCGTCTTTTGCCTTGCAAAAACAAGAACAGGGTAATACAAGAATTCCATAACAGTACAGAGTGTAATCTCAATTTCCCTCTGGCTCACACAGCAGCTCTGCAAGAGGAAACACCTCTTGTGCCTGTATTCTGTTATTTAGTGCATCCTATTACTTACCTTGTCATTTATAGGACACTTCTGTATCAGACACTTCCAAGGAAATCACGCCAAGGTAACCCTGGGACCACTCGTCCCCAGCACACCCAGAATGCCTTATTTATTTGTCTAAGCCCATGAAGGAGTCAACTGAAAAACTGAGTTTCACACCCCTTTCAAAGTCTGTACAGCAAGATTAGATTTTGTTAATGGATCTTTCTTTTTTGCTGATCTCAGACATGACTTGTGGCAATACGTTCACTGTTACTTTAGAAATAAATTCTGATTTATTCAGTTCTGATTATTTTTCTGGATATGTAATGCCACTCTGATCCCTTAAGGACAAAATACCTCAAATACACAATCTTTGCAAAATTAATTCCTTCTAAAATAGTTTGTACAAGTCGCTAAAAATGCAACCTCATATCTTCTATCCCTAAGGATTAGTTCTCAAGGCTCACCAGGGACAGTTTTCACATTTTATTACATAATGCAACATTACTAAGTGTAGTATTTTAAAATGTGTACAGAATTAATTTCAGCATTACCCTGGCTCCTAAAGTCTACAATGACAGTCTACAAGTCACTGTCAGCCCTGTTTACTCTGGGCCATTTTGCTTCTAATGATTTATTCTTGAACTCAAATGTACTTGTAGCCAAATGAGGGCAAGCTAACTGAAGCCTTCATTCCTTTACTGTTCTGCTGCGAGGGAGAAGAAAAAAAAAAAAGGAAATGCACATTAAAAAGTCTTACCGTTTCTTTCTTGGTTTTGGCTAGTGTCTCCTTTGGAGGGTTTCTCTGTCTACTCTGAGATTCAGCTCGTGATATATAATCAGCTACTGTTACTGTTCAAGGAAAAAAATCACAGTGATGCTCACATCAGCAGTCAATTCAGCATGAACCTTCATGTCTTTTCTGCACAAGTTACGCTCTAACTGGGAGACATCTCACAAAAGGCCTTCACACTTACAGGTTATCAACCACACAGCAAGGATCAATTTGTTTCTGTTATTAAATACAATTTGCACTAAAATCAGTGATAATGCGATGATCTGAAGGTGGACTCAATATTTTGGTCCAATTGCAAATTTGATTGGAAAAGAAGGGCTTTCCATACTAGGTTTGAAGAGATCAGGCTGCAGGCTCTTTGAACTACAGACTGCGTTTGTCAATAGCTTGAGTGGTGAAGAATTTCACAGCAATAAAATGAAGGCAAGTTAAATTTTGCCCAGAACTGGGGGAGGTTCAGAGTGTGGTATCACTTACGATGACGCGGAATTCAAATCTTTGTTATGCCATGAAGCGACTGACAGAGAGAACTCGCCCTCCTGGAGGTCCTGGGAACACCATCAGCACTGTTCCCTGGCTCGGGGCAGGGGTGGGACAGTGGTGGGGGGTGTGGACGTGGGCGGTGCTGCCTGAGCCAGCCCTGCTCAGGAGCGGCACAGCCGTGTCTGTGCCGGGACGGCTGCACTTACTGGGTGCCGGCCAGGGCTTCTCTGACCTCTTTTCTTCTTACCACCTCAGCACATGTTCCTGTAGCCTGGTTTTGTCTGATCCTGCCCTCTTGTAACCACACCAAGAGTCAATTCTATTTTTAGAATACAGAGTACTGCAAATTTAAATATACACTTGTGGATCTGATGAGGTAAAGCACATTAAGGTTGGCAAGCATTACCTATTGAACTGTACAGTCAATTATATTTAGTGTATCATGCATTCAGGTGAACTATTTTTCTGGATTTAGGAATGACTGCGCATGAAACCCAAATCAGACTGGGAAGTATAACACATGAATTTCCTGTTACAGTAATTGGACTTCTTACAACTGGGTCCTTCCAGATTGTCTAGTTTCTGCACAAGAATTTTTTTTATTTAAAATGAGGTTCTGTACCCAACTCCTCTAATGCAAAGAGGGAGCATATTTCCTGCACACAGTGCATTCTTAATATTCATCTACATATAAGGACCCATAACATATAGCAATGTAAATGAAAAAATACAACTAAATGAGTGAAGTACAGTGGTTGGCACTGGGGGGGCAGGAAGGGAAGAGTTCCTTCTGTCTTCACTCACTATATATTTACTAGGTATTTATGAAGAGATTAAATTAGAGCATTTCTAACAAAGACAGTATAACTACCAACCAATGCTCCTAGTGTTGTACCTTATTTTAAGTATTTATTATGCAAACTGAAAACTGTATCTTGAACAACGACATCAACAGGAAAAAACTGAGGAATCTTTTCTGGGAAATTTTGTTTTGTTCTTAGAATACTTAGATTTAAAAGAGTTCCCGTGGTTTTGTAGAAATGCTTAACATCCCTTTATGTCACTGGCCGAAAT